GGCTGGGACAGTAAAGTACCCAGTTTACCTGGCCATGAGGAGGCACTGCTTGGGGTCTTTGTGGTGGAGAGGCTATGGACTGGCAGGAGGAGAATCGCACACTGGCTCCTCCTTTCAGCCCAAATGTAGGAACAAGCCCGCTGCAGTAGCTGAATGAAAAGAGAGCTGCAAGCACAACGCAGGATCTCGACACTACCGCAGGAGACGCTTCACACACCTATGATACACACTTAATTTGTTTTTGTTTTAGGCTTTTTCCATCCATACATTATCTGACCGCTTGTCCCAATTGGGGTGGCGAGGGGTGCTGGTGCCTATCCCAGCTGTCTACGGGCGAGAGGCGGGGTCCACCCTGGACAGGTCGCCAGTCCATCGCAGGGCAACACAGAGACAAACAGGACAAACAACCATTCACACTCACACCTAAGGAGAATCTAGAGAAGCCAATTAACCTAACATTTATCTTTTTGGATTGTGGGAAGAAGCCGGAGTACCCAGAGAGAACCCACGTATGCTCAGGGAGAACATGCAAACTCATGCAGAAAGACCTCCGGCTGGGAATCGAACCCAGAACCTTCTTGCTGCGAGGCAGCAGCGCTACCCACTGCTGAGCAGCCTTTTAGGCTTTTTTTTTAATCATTATTTATTTATTTATTTTGTCTATCAATCAATTAAGACCCGGAAGATTATATAGATAAACTAAATCTAAATTGATCTGACAGGGCGTCAATATCTATGGACAGGTCTATTTTGGATCTTTCTTCTTGACACCTGGGAATTTTTCGTTTTGGAGGACCAAGGTCATCTCTGTCTTTGAGCTCAGCTACAATATCTGACAGCTGTCTTTTATATCTGCCCTCGCACCATAAGATCAGTTGTTGAAGGGAAGTGACATGCTGTTGGAGGTCGTCCTTCTCAGCTCTAAGGCTGTTCTTCATTTTTATCTCTTTATCAAGCTGCTGCTCGAATGCGTTTATTTGCCGTGATGAAAAACTCCCTTTTAACAGGAAGAAACCAACAGAACCAGGCTCAGTGTGAGCGGCCATCTGCTGATGCCGACTGGGGTTCAAGGAGACAGAAGCAGATATAGAAAAAGAAGC